CTGTGTCTACACTCTTGCTTTGTCACTGGGTGAATAAGACCTTGCTTCTGTTGGCTACAGATTTTGTTCAGTGAGCAAAGCGGGGGCGGAGGTGGGGAGCATTTATTAAGCAGTTATTATCATCCAGGCCTTTTCAAACTTATAAATCAACTGTTCTAAGAAAAAAATACATTTTATCGAATTATTTAGGAATCTCATTTTTCATATGAAACCAAGATACAGAGATACTAAATACTACTTAAAGTGGTTCTTTCCAAATTTTTTTTTCTGCATCCTACCTCTCAGAGATCATCTAGCTATTGTTTGGATCTTAACTACAACCTCCTCTAAAACAGCTGCTTTTCTTAAGGCTTACTACCAAGGGGAAGAGTGGACTACTTAAGACGTGACACTAGTAGGAAGGAGTCAAAGGTGGAGTGACCTCAAAGGGGATATCTTGATCCCATGGTCTTCTTCTCACTGTCTTTGTATCCTTACTACCACGGAGAGAGCAGCTTCCTTAGTTAAGGCTTTGCTTCCCCTCTTCTCATAGGTCAAAGCAATAGGGCCAAGTGACCACAGACTGAGACCATAAGCCAGAATAATCCCATATTGAATATTGAATTCTCCCGTCTTGAATATCTTAGCCATTCTTTCAGTGATGAAAAGATTACTAACACATTCTTCTATTAAATTGGTCCCTAGTCTGAAATGGAGAAATACTGCATTTTTCACTGTCCCAGGCACCATACCATATTGGGCAGTCATGGAAAAGATCTTATAAGAAAACTGTCTAAATTTTGCTCAATCCAGGGTATTACAAACCCAGTTTAACTGTGATATTATTTTTTTCCAATGACACAGGAGCATCAGATAGAAATGGGGTTTTAGGGAAATCATTTTACCTGATGTAGGTCTAAGTTAGTGATTTGGAATTAGTATACAGTGAAGCTGAAAAAGACTAATTAAATCTGTATTCAGCAAAAAGATTTATTATGCACATGCACCCAAAATAATAAGAAAAGGAAGAAGGGGCAAATTATGTTTTATTATTACATATCTACTGGTAATAAATTTAATATTATGGGCTGGTTATTTACTTACTTTGCAGCGCTGTGGAACCAGATCATTGGGCATGCTAGGCTAGCATTCTCCCACTGACTACCTGCTTTCCCACACCTAAATTGTCATAGTTGTCATCTCCTGCCTCCTCCTCCTCCTCTTCTTTTCTTATTTTTCATGATCAAAGAACATGCAGATATTTGTCATCTGATTTTTTGTGGAGTTCGTGCTTGGTAAGTAGGCACTCCACCACTAACATCATGCCTGTAGCCTCTATTTTCACTGTGATTTTTGGGGGTAAGATCTCATTTCATATATACTTTTATGCCCTGTAGGCCTTAGCTACTATACTAGTTATTATGCTTCCCTGTTTTGCTAGAGATAGGCTTAGCCATTGTGCTTTCTCTGTAGCTGAGATAACAAGGCTCACGCTACCCTGCCCAGCCTTAGGTTGAGATGAAGTCTCGATTGCTTATTTGTCTAGGTTGTCCTCAAACCTTGATCCCCCCATCTCTGCCTCCCAAGTAGCTTGTCAACTGATCTTTAACATACACACACACACACACACACAAAAGCACACACCATAAATTTTATCACACTAGCACTCTGAGTGTATAGTGTGGCATTAAATATATTCACATTTTATCTTCTTTGATGGAAACCTTGTACTATCTGATTTCTTTATTCAATATTTTATCATAAACTTTATTTTTCTAATTTTCAATTTCTTTCTTTCACAGCATTCACTTTTAATGATCATTAGATTCCTTCAGCTCATAATTGGCCTGTTTTTGGACATTTGCAATATTTACACTTTCCTCTTTTGTAAGCTTCTTGGACTATATAACACTTTGGTATTTTGGATTATTTTATTAGAATAGCTACTAGATTAAAAAATAGGAATGTTGGGCTGGGAATGTGGCTCAGTGGTAGAGTGTTTGCCTAGCATGCATGAAGCCCGGGGTTTGATTCCTCAGTACCACATAAAGAGAAAAAATCCTGAAGTGGCACTGTGGCTCAAATGGTAGAGCACTAGCCTTGAGCCAAAGAAGTTCAGAGACAGTGCCCCAGCCCTGAGTTCAAGCCCCAGGACAGGAAAAAAAATATTAAAAAAAATGTTGTACCACTTTTTAACAAAGTTGCCAAATCTCTTCTAAAAGTTATAGAAAATTTATACTTAATCTGTCGGTTGATGGATATAGGTTGGGCATAGTGGGAAACCTCTGTAATTCTAAAAGTTTCGATGCAGGACAATTGCAAGTTTGAGATCAGTCTGGCCTATCTAGATCCTGGCAGACAAAACAGAACAAAACAGAACTCAGTAAGTTTTTAATGTTTGCCAAGAATTAGCTACAAGTATAGAAGAACCACATGAACTCTACCGAAATGATTTCAAATTATATAAGCCTGCATTAGTTGTGGGCCCTGAGGACAAAAGGGCTGCTGTACTCATCCAAAAGATTTATTGCATTTCTTTGATTTTAGTGAGAAGGCATCTTTGCTGGTTTGGTGATTCCCTTTGGAAATTTCCTTCTTTCTCCTCATTTCCCCTTCCCCATTTCTTATTAATTTAGGTGAATTAATCTCTAACCTTGTTTCCTTATTTTTGAAGTGAGAATAATTCTTCATCATGTGATTTTTGCCTAAACTCAAGGAAACATGGAATAATCTTAAGGATGCAATATGATAATAGGTATCTTAGTAGTAGCACATCCGAAAAAGGCTGTAAACATACTTGCTGCTGTCACTACTCCATGACAGGAGTGAGTGAAACGCAATCTTCCTTCCAAGGAACAAGGGCAAAGTCAAAACTGTGACACTATATAGGTCAGTCTTCAGAGAAATTTTATATTTATAATGTATTGTATATTACTTATATTTTATATTTACAATTTTATATTTCATTTTTGGTGCAATAGAGCAGATTAGTAAATACAAAATATATGTATACTAATATATACATATAAATATATATGTGTATGTGTGTGTTCTTTTACTCCATGATATGGTTGCACATATAGTCTAACCTGGTATGGAATTTGTAATCCGTTTCTCTCAGACTCCCAAATCTGGAATTATAGGCATATGGCACCATGCCTAGTTTAGAGTTTTCATTATTTTATTTCTGTGAATAACTGCTAAGTTCTGGAAAGTTCTATTAAATCCTTAAATAAATATAAATATAAACATATAGTTTTCAGCTTTTGATTACTTGTGATTTAGGAACATTTCTCAAGTTAAGAAACTGGAATGGTGGTAGGATGTCCTCAGATTACAGGTTAATGAGTTTGAAAAACATCAATTTTGTACTCTAAGAAGGATGAACCTTACTATGCTAAACTGAATTGACAACAGTTGGGCTAGTAATTATTCTAATGTGCAAGGTACAAGATCAAAATTTCTGTTTAAAATAAACTTCTATTCTTATCAAGTAAAAATGTCTTTCCATACATATATATGGTGAGTTGCAGGTTGTGCACTAAGCCTGATCATAATACAGTATATATGTGATCAAAGAAATGTGTGGTTTGGTAAGTTACATGAATGTTATATTAAATTGAATATCCTATTCTCTTGATTTTAAAGGGATAGAAGTGTCTGATGTTAGACGTCAATCAACAAACTATTGCTAGAAATTGTAAAGACGCCATACTTCAGAACGGGTTATGCTTATACGAGGCGATAGCACACATTTTTGTGCTATTTTACAAAACGAACCAAGTACGCAGGGTACAGTGCTTACAACAGGAGCAAGTCAGGGTGGCATATGGTGAAACTACTTTTTACTGCTGCACAAGTAGCAAACTATAAAATACTGCACTATCATAAGATGGCTTTATGTTCCTTCTGGCCGATTACACATTGTTGCTTTCATTGCCTTTTAAGTATTTCTATTTTAAGTGGGCCCAATATATTAAAATAAAAATTATATATATATGTATATGATATCGTCTACTCCACCAAGCCTGGGGGAAAGGAAAGAGGCCAGGAGGTTCCAGAACAACAGTCATTGAAGCAGAAAGTTAAAAGTCAAACACTCTCTAGACTAATGACAAACAAAACCAGAAAAGGAGACGCGCCAGTTGTTCACGCTGGAAAGTTACCGAACGTTTATTTTGGTCCAAGTTTTATGTATTACATGAACAAGGCACAGTAATTTTCTATGGGGGAGGGATGCCTTATTCTGTATTACGCAGGCTGCCTAGTTCCTTAGGGGATGTTTCCGGCACCTTTTCTTCCTACCGGCGGGGGCCGTGGTGGGATCTCCATCTGGGGGGCACAACCCCAGGACGCCCCTCTGTTCGGGGTGGCGGGTGTCCTCCGTGCTGGACCTCAATCGTCCCGCCATTCTGCTTCCATTCCAGTTTCAGCAACAGGGTAGCATGATGCCCCACGTCGCGATCCTTTTCCCGCTCGCCGCCCTGGGCAGAGCGGCGGGCGGGCGGCTGGGGACCCAGGCGGCGAACAAAGGCGGCGGCG